CCCCCCCCTGGGATTGTTTGGGACGGCTAATGGGGAACTCTCTTTTTTTGGGTCTATTTCCTATCCAATCCTATCGTCTTCCGATGCTTAATTTGCGCGTGATGTCTCGGTCACAGGCACCAGTCAGTGGATCAAAAGGTCCGGCCTTGAACGGCCACTGGGAAGCATTGCTGTGCCATTGGAAGCAGAGGCGACAGAACCCTGGACAGAACTCTTGTTTCAGGGTAAATCCGTCTAGTTACTGTATGGATCGGCACTATCAGGGCCCTGAGGGCCTGAAGGTTTAAAGGCCAGCCACCATGCTCCTCTCGGCTCTCAGGCCAGTTAGTCATCCTTTCTGCTGGTGAAGAAGCGCTTCAGAAGGAGGCCAAACCTTGCATTCTGGTCCAACAACCTTCGCAAGCTCATCACTTTCTTTTGTGGCATGCTTTTGCTCGCTTCTATTCACCACATACTATTTTGGTAAGTTGCTTCAACAGTCAAACTTGCATGAAGCGTATTGGAATTGGAGAGGCCCATAGGAATATATTGGACTCGCCTTGTTGCCTTTGGGAGGTGCAGCCGATGCTGGACATCCTTGGCAAGAGGACCTTCTTCTTGGGCGAGGTGCGCAGAGGGAAAGCCCTATACAGCTCACATGGATGATCATGGATGCATTGAGTAAGGAACATGTCACGGTACCAGTAGCATTTTCCATGATGCTCGATTGAATGGCAGATGTGATGATGTTGGCTGCAGCACATTGGCCTTGAGGCCACAAGCACTAATCATCGCTTAGCGAAATGCAACCATGACTTAGCCTCCTAACAGCCCCATACAGAGCCTAAAGTGAAGAAAGACCTCTATGGTACAGCATTGAACGTGGAAAAAAAGGTTTTCCTCCCTTGAAGGCCTAGGTCGTGCCTCGAGCCTATGTCACTTCAAGAGGAGAATGAGGAGTTGGAGGAGTTGCGTCAAGAGGTGGAAAAGTTGAGGGCTCAGGCGCGAAACCATGACACCTTCGGCGCTGGTCCACCTCCGGGAAGCCGAGACCATCGGCGCTTGCGAAATGCGCAGACGCAAGAGCTGGAGGATTTGACCATGGAAAACAATCAGATGGCAGAGCGGTTGCAAGCCTTGCTGGAAGAGAATGGAAGCCTCAAGAAGCAAGTGGAGCGGCAACAGCAAGAGATCAAGAGTTTGGAGGCGACCGATAAGAGCAAGGTGATTGAAGAGGGCGGACAGAGTCCTCAGAAGAGCAAGCTCAATTTGTTAAAGAGCAAGGTCTCGCTGATGCAGAAACAAATCAAGGAAGACAATGCCCTGGGTAGCATGCTGTCACAGGAGCGAAACCAGAGAGAATCCGTGGAGAGAAACCTGGATTTGCATCGGAAGCGTTTTCTTCTCGATTGTTTTTCTCTCCCCACAAGTAAAGGAATAGAGGATGCGCCAAGCAGGCCGATTGTCACTCCATATGTAGAAATCATATGTCAATGTCTTTTTGCTGAAGGCTTAAATCGGACAGCGACTGACATGGCACCCATTCCTTTGCGGCAAAAAAAACACACGCAAGTACTCAGCGATTCCAAGGGGCCAGGGACGACCTCACTGCACGGCTCAAGAGCACCGAAGTCGAGATGGCACGACTCCATGATGAGCTTGCACAGGCCGAAAACCAGAACCGGGTCTATGAGCAAGAGAACAAGGAGTCAACCGAGGGATTTCTTTTACTCGGTCGACAGGCGACAGGTGGTAATTAGGCTCTGCCAGTTCTATGTCCCCAACTTTTCAAATTTGGAATGACATGACAGAGGAAGTCGACTAGTCGTGGAAAAGGCAGCTGTCTTCAGAGGTCGAGTGACCTTCGTTTTCTTTTCCACTCTTGTCGCCCACCGCCTCGCCCCCCGCGTCGCGTTCGAGGACCTCTCTGAGCGGATCGAAGAGCTGCGGATGATCGCGGAGGCGGAGCGGCGTACCAGCTCGCAGAAGCAGGAAGAGCTCAACGAGCAACTGATGATGTTGCAAACACCCTCCAGTGATGTGAACGAAGGTGGTGTGTCCACGAACACTGTGCGGCCCTGGTCATCAAATTTGGCAAGCATACCAGCTTCAACTAGTTTAATATATTTTAAGACTAAGATATATACAGTATAAGCAACATTAAGCGACATCCTGTAAGGTTGCAAGACATTTTCTGCATGTTGGGTGATCAGACCATCGAACCCTGTGAAGGTCACTTCAGCTTTGCCATCCCCGAGCGTGCAAGTCTTCAGCTTGGACAGGATTTGCTAAGCCAATTGCAGACAGTTGAGGATGAGGTGGAGGATGAAACGCCGCCTGTCCTGGATACTAGCAAGGCCAGCAAGACATTGGCGTGCCTGGATGAGTCTGGCACTGTGTCAGCTCCCAGCTCTCCATCCTTGGTTTGCAAAGAGGATGAGCCTGAAAACTCGGGGGACTCTCGAGAACGACTGGCTGAGTTACAAGGTGTGTGTCAACGACTCAAGGAGGAGCTTTCGAGTTGCAAGCAGGAAGTGACCAGTTACAAGGAGAAGGCAGCGGCAGACGCCAGACGAGAGATTTCCTTGCGGGAGCAGCTTGAGGAAGCCAAAGCACAGTCTGACAAGTTAGGATTGTTCATCAAAGAAATGGTGACACGTGAGCCTGAGAAGATTGACTCGGCAGAGACCAGTGCTGAAGATCCGATTCCATTGGAAGTGGAGGGGGGAAAAGCTGAAGCCGACTTCAATCAGAGGTCATCTTCGTCAGGTGTAAAGCTGTTGGGAGCAGAAGGACCAGACGTGGGGACTCCAAAGTCGGAGGCCTCTCGGTTGGCAGAACTCCAAGAGGAGTTGGAGAGGGCCCAGAAAACCTTGAAACTTTGGGCAGCTGAGAGGGAGCAATCTTCCTGGTCCAAACTGATCAACAGCTTTATGTGCACAAGCCGCTAAGCCAACCAGCGTGACCAGCGCATGTGTCATGCGGGCCGTTCAGATGTGTGGGAGCCAATTCCGGAGGCCGATAGGGGCCGCAGCAGGTGTGTCTCAACCTAAGGTTTGACCCACATCCCGGCATCCACATGTTTCTTTTTTGTTTATCATTTTAATCTTCCGTGCATCCGCACCAAAGGTGCCAAAAGGACTTAGCACACGTGGAATCGAAGGAGCAACAAAGGATCTGAGCATCAGAGCAGCTGCCTGTCCCACTGACCAGATTGGAGACACAAACTGACTGAAAAGCTAGGCCAAGCTTCAGACTCAAGTTGTACGGCGTCCGAACGACCTTTCTTTTCCTAACTCCACCCGGGGCTTCTTCCTTTCCAAACAAAACAGGCTGGATGCGGTGCCCGAATGAAGCTGGTGGTGAACATGGCTACTTGGATCACTTGGTGCTCCCGAGTGGAGCATGATTAAGTGTGTTTCGCGTGGAGCAGCAAATGACGGATGGAAAGGATAGTATTCGTAGCACGAGAGGAAGGTGTTTTTGGTCCATAGGGTTTGGGGAGTTGGGGAGTTAGCTCAGACGCACCGAGTCTCATTGTCATATCAAAGGCATAGGTGGATGTGGCCTAGTTGGCCCGGCCGACCAATGTCAACTGACAGTAATTTTCCTCGAAGGGCAGAAGCTCCCCCTTCTTATGGCTTCTCAGGACTCAATTGCCTTTAGATCTCTCTGTCTTCAGCAACTCTAGTGGAGTGGTTTTGACCACTGCAGTCGGTTTCTCGCACGTCCGAGTCGGTGAAACTCATGGAACGCCTCAAAACAACACACGGGGCATGGACGAATCCACCCGGCCGGTGAGGTCATGGGCATCAACATGGTGGCCCTGTGCGAGGGCCTTTCCGCCCGGGCTCCCGTGGTGCGTCGGGAGAGTTTTAACCCGAGCTGGTCGGCTCAAAACCAGACCCTCACGGGCACCAGCCTCTTCTTAGGTTGGAGGCCACCGCTCTTAGGTTGGAGGCCATCGCTCTAGTGTGGATCTGAAGGTGCTGATGCTGCTGCTGCTGCTGGTTCTGGTTTGCTGCTGGTCTATGCTGTTGGATTGTTGGCGTACTATAGCTAATTACTTGTTTTCTGGAAGCATGCTTACGGCATACGAGTCGCTTCGGGCTATGCCTTGTAGACTTTGGCCACAGCATGGTCTGCTGATGGTTTGCTGCTGGTCAGCTACTGGCCTGCTGCGGTTCTGCTTCTGTTCTGTTGCTGATGTGCTGCTGTTCTGCTGCTGGGCTGAAGCCGTTCTGCTGCTGGTCTGCTGCTGTTGTGCTTGCCTCTTATCGCTTTGGCTAGATTTCGACCCCCTCCCATCGCCTCATGTTTTTTATGTCTGAATTTTGGAGTCACTGTAATCAGTCTATATATGGATATATATGGTAGCTAGGATGACACCGGAGTGTTTTACACAAAGTGATTGTGATGTTTATCGGACCCTCACCAGCGTCCCGGCTCCGAGATTGTTTGAGGTTGGGCAAAAGGCTGGCCTGGATGGCAAGGACATCTTGGAGGTGCGACCAGAAAGTGACGAGCAGACGTGGGAAGCAGACCTCCAAGCAGTTGGACACACTGACAGATGCTGTCGTCAGTCTGACTCGGTTGCAAGGTAAAGGGTTTTCCCAGACAGACCTTGTGGCACGTTGACTTGTAGTACACGCGCAGGATGAAGACACTGCCTGGGAGGTCCATTGACAGATTTCGCCAAGCCACTTCACACACTCGTTGGCTGGAGTCCGTTCTTTCCAGCTTAGGTCATCAAGGAGGGTGCCATCGCATCACCCATGTATGGCCTCAAGGTGCAAGACATAAGGGACCTCCATCGGCCGGTACTGATATAAGTTATTATAATATATATTATGAGGATTTATTTTTGGAAAACATTGCCGCACAACAGGGGTTTAGCTGGTTGCGGAACATGCACAACAACGCAGACATGCACTATTTATATATTACGTACTATACTGTAAATATCTATTTTTATGCGTATGATACATAAGTGCGTGACATTCGGAATCTATAGTCTACTTTGATCCTTTCTGCGAATGAGACCAACGCTTTTTGGCTTTGGCATCAGCTTTTGTTCAAGCAGAGTATACAGTGTTCGCGCTAGTTTTCTAAGCAAAGGGCTTGGCAGACTTTGGCAAAGGCATGGCCTCTCTTGCAAATGCTGTGCTTGTGGACACTTTGGAGCAATGTCAAGATGCAGTTGCCCAGTTGTCCCAGGACCGAATAGTCATAGTGGAGATCAGATGCTATCTTTAGTTGATTCCATCAATCATTCCATTGCATTGAAGCCATGTTGTCAGCATTTTGAGGAGACTGAGGTGGCCATTGACATTGAAGGAGTTGAATTGAGCCGAGCAGGCGAAGTTTGCTTGATTCAGATCTGTGGCCCCTCGAGCGACAAGGTCTTTCTGTTTGACATCCACACACTGAAGGACCGAAGGAGTTGATCAGTGTTTCAAGAATTTGCCGCGGAATTTACTGTAAATCCCAAGCTCTCAGAGCCCCTCAAAACCTCAAAGAACCCCCTGAAAACACTCTGGGCAGCCTGCCATGTGGGTCAAGACTTTCATTCCGCCACAGGGTAGCAGACTCTTCAAAATGCCATGATTGACATGCAATTTTGCACGACAATACGGACGCATCTGTGAGGACAAAGCCTTTGAAGAGGGGGGCTTGAAGAAGTTGCTGGAGTCTGATGTGATAAAGGTGTTTTATGATTTGCGCACAGACAATGATGCTTTGCACCACTTACATCAAGTTCATGTGCGAGCTTCTTACGATCTGCAAGTCTTGCGCCAGCTGAAGTTTCAGGATTCCACAGACATCTACCTACATGGGCTGAAGAGAGTACTCGCAGGTTTCCTTAAGGAGTCCAACTGTTTGACTGAGGAGCAAGTTCACAAGGTAGATGCCGTGAAAGAACAAGGGCACGAGCTTTTTACCCCGGAGAATGGTGGAACTCAACTATGGAAGGAACGGCCGCTGAGACCCATTCTGGTGGACTACGCTGCCATCGATGTACAGTTCTTATTGCACATGAAGCGTTTGTGGACCCCGAACGATCCAGCGGAAGCAGCGCAACTCCATCAGGACGTCATGAAGGCTAGCGAACATCGCTTAAAGTGTTTTGTAGCTTTGCCGCAGGAGGACGCACTGAATCAATCTGCTAAGAAGCTCAGGGATTTCTACGAAGCCAGCGACACATCGCGTATCCTTCATGTGCCAAGTCACAAGAAAGGCGCTTTGATTGGCAAGAAGGGGGCCAACATCGAAGCAATCCAGGCCAAGTCAGGTGCAAAGGCACCTTTGCTGCAAAAAAGCGGGACTTGACCAGCCCGTGTATGATAGCGTATAAACATATCTGCAGGTAATCCAGTTTTTCAGGGCTAGATTCACCAACTGAAGGTTGTATTTAACAATATTTCCCAGATGCTTGATTTTTTGAGTTCAGATATTTCAATTCCATGGTCCCTTGGCTGGTGGACTTGGAACCATCAAAGGTTTGCCTAAAAGATGACGTTGCGCTGGTGATTGGACTACCTCAGCAAGTGGAAGCCGCAGTGCAGCTGATCCTTCCAAAGATTGCCTCCCGCTGATGTAATTGAAAAGACTACCTTTGAGGTGACGAAAAGGATGTCCATGGATGATCCTTGTTGTATGTTCGAGTCCCACCCAGACGAATTGCTTCGCTGCCCGAAATCTGGAGCGCATTCGGAGAGGAAAGTGGCACCTATGGCTTCGCCCGATGGGAGAAGCCATCGGATCCTGCACCTCGCTATCAGTTCGGTACTGCAGGTCACTCGTTGTTGAGGGGCCAACATACTGCAACCACTATTTAGGAACATGTTCACAGGATTTTTCCAGGGCTTAGAATTTCGTTGGAGTTCTTTGGGGAGTCCTAGACTTGGAAGGACGGCCTGCTATGAATCCAAACAGCTTTTTCCCAGTATATAGCTAGTGACTTTTTGAAAACTCTTGTCATGAATCCCCAAACTGTATAACGACTATTCCAGAAACTAACAATGACTATGTAAAACAAACATGTATAACCACTGCTGCCCACATCTTCCAGTCGGTGGTTGACAGAAAAGGGTCCAGCATCTTGATCTCAGCCAAGACTGGCCTGACCGGCCCGGCCGTAGCGCAGGGCCCCCTGATGCTGGAGGGCAACTTTGCTCCGGCCTTTCCATTGAAACACCAGCAGAAGGAGTGTCAAGAGCAAAGACTTGGATTTCGGATGATTTTGGTAGAACATTGATTAGCTTTGATGAGGTGTGCTCTAATCCTTTCAGTCTGGGACGTGCTTGGTTGGGTTTGATCCTTAGATATTCTTAGTAAGGTCCGGTGTGGGATCCACTTCGGCAGAAGCGAGATTCCATTAATGTGAAAGCCCTCGTAGCGAAGAGAGTTTGTGCTTGACGTGTTGTCCAACCCCCCCGCAACCATCTGCTAGAGTACACGGCAAATGCCAAGTCAGCTAGCTTTAGTAGCTTCTTGTTACTAGTAGTAAGGCCAAGAGCTACTAGTAGTCAGCTAGCTCTTGACAGGATCTTGTTGACTGCTTTCGCATGCCATACCGTCGTGTACGTGCCAGGATGTCCGCTTGGCGGTGGACATGGGTGACAAAGTGGGTCAGCGTGGTTCTCGTTCTCCGTCGTTGTCAGTGGGTCAGCTGCACATGTTGTCGTCGAATGCATCCATGTCCCCAAGGTCCATGCCTTTAGCTGCTGCTTGCAACGAGGCCTTCAAGGTGTGCTCTTTCGAAAAGCGGCCACTGTCAGCTCTGTCCGACTTTCGGTTCTCTGCAGTTCGTCATTGAAGTGTTGCAATAGTGTTGCACTTGCAACGTCATGGTACTGTTTGCAGAAAGGGAACACGGTATTTCGGCTGCGTAGACTGCAGTGACTGCACCAGGTATTTCGTCCGATCACAGACACGAATCACACGGATGAGGCTGCCCGTGCCGCTGGCAAGGGTGACGAGGACTTCAGCGCTGTCTACTCGACCGTCCCTTGGAAGAATCGAAGAAACGAGACGCAGACGCTCGATGAGAGAACTCTCAAACTATAAAACCAACTGAAACGTGTAGGTCAACAGAATTTTTGCTACTGAACGCTACAAAAGCTGTAGGCAACAGCTTAAACTGTGTCGATCAACTAAGTTGGGATATGTTCGGATCATTTGTTCAGAATCCTTTAAAATGGGTTGGTCAGCCGCTGTTCAGAATCTGTGTAAGTGGTGATCAGGTGAAGCATTGAGCTGCTCACGGAGATTGAGATAGATGGAATTCATTTTAGGTCATCAACTCTACTCGGATTGGGCTGTGCATTTCCCTGAGCTCAGTGCATCATCGCTTCCGAGGGGGCAGCACAGAGTTTGCCATACTAGTAACCAGTCTCAGTCGCTCCAACACCCAATGCTTTGTGCATCAACTCAGTGAATGGACTGGCCTAACCCGAGAGGATCAAGCCATTTTGGACGCGGCCAGAGCTTTGCGATGGCATCTCCCCAATTTTGCACCACCCCAGGAAGGTGAATCCCTGCTAATTAGGTAGGATATGGAATATGCTCAGAGTCTTTAAGAGATAATAAAAAGAAAGAAGTCATATCCAGCTACCTTGGTGAAGTGGTTCACTGCGGCCCCTGGGGTGAAGACGTTTCCACACCGGGAGGGGGGTTTCCAGGAACCGATTCGCTTTTGGATGCAGGAACCGATTCGAAGCGAGATTCGGGTGCTGCAGAAAAGGTCGATTTACAGAAACGACGTGGCTTTACGTGTATGATGACTGAGCAGTAAAATGCAGAGAAGAACAATTGCAGTGATGAATCACTGTTTTGCTTATATTGATTGACTCAAATCGAATCACAATGCTCAGACAGGCGCCTGACAGATTTTCCACAGTCTTGTGTGTCACTCAAAGCGTTCTTGCCGATTTGGAATCAGACGGATTACTCTATTTCTGTTGACACTGAATTCAGGCTCTAGGATTTTGAGCATTCAAGTGGCGTGTGAGATGTCAAGACTGGGCCACAAGAAAGATTTTTATTACAAGGTGGTAAAAGGTAACACCTAAGCTCCGTCTACTACTTGCCACCCTTAATAACGCAAGACGAAGTGCACTGAGTTCGTTACAAGGCCAGTTGATGTGGTGCGTCTCGATGCATTTGCGTGGTGTGAGATGGATTCTACTCGGGAAAGGTAATAGGTTCAGATGACGTTCAAGCTGTCATGCTCCGATGTTTCAACGTGTATGCAAAGATGTTGCAAATTCATATTTCCAAATGTTTTAGATAAAGGCACTTGTTGGGTTTGCGCAAAGATGTTTACTACCGGCCCTGAACAGACAGGGAAAAGCAGGGATACTCAGTTCTCTGAAAGTGCTTGAAAGTTCTTAGCCGATCTTCTGACTGACGAACACCTTTGTTCACCATAATTGAAAGGTTTTGACCGCCACTTGAGACTTGGGAATTGAACTGAATTTAACAGGAAATGGAAATGTCTCAATTATGAAAACATATAGTATATTAGGTTGGAGGCCATCGCTAGTAGGTTGGAGGCCATCGCTATTAGGGGGAGCAGGCTTGTCAGATCTCGTCACCTTTCTGCTGCCAGCCCTCTCAGCCACCTTCGCTCCTTTGCACCCCTTCGCTCCTGCGTTGAAAGCGCCATGCGTGAGCTTGTGCATGTCCAGGGAGGCGGGAATGGGATGGAAGGAAGCACTATTGATCCAAAGCCAGCTTTCAGAAGCAGCAAACTTTCTGGGGTATGGCTAGGCTTGATGTGGCTCTGAGCATGTCTCAAGTGTGTGAGAACGTTGTGGAGTCAATGGGCGTGTCTCGCTACTTACTACTGCTTCTATCGATGTCTCATGATTTCGAACAATGTTTTTGGCTTTTGTTTTTTTGGTGCCATTGTATTTACTATATGTATTTACTGGTATCCAGTGGCACTGCAGCAGTTTTTGTAACACCGGAGGACCTAGAATGACACGACTAGACAGCTAACTTACCCACAAACACATGCGGCACCCCCAGGTCAGTGCGGCAACCAGATTGGAGCCAAGTTCTGGGAGGTCATTGCGGATGAACACGGCATTGACCCCACTGGACGCTGGTCAGAATGTTGGGTAGGTCTTATGAAGTCATTCTGAAAGACAAACTATGGACAGACTATTCATCTCTATCCGCACACAAATCCAAAGACCCCACCATAGGATTGCCCGTTGTGTCAGGAACATATCATGGAGACTCCGACCTGCAGCTCGAATCTTGACTGATTCTGTTTGCTTTTGCTTGGGGCCGGCTTGCACTACTTTATGATCCTTCAATTTGTTTGCAAACCGGATGGCGAACCTATTTAGCGTTCGTGCATTCTACCTGGTGTGCATTTCCTTTTTGGCCGGAGAGTTCTACTGTCCTTTTGCCTGTGCAGCTTTCTTCCCACCTGGTTTGCGTAAATTATCATCCTCCTTCAGTGGTAGCCACATGGTTGCTGGAGATTGGGATCTCTCATGTTTGATCACGTTTGTAGTGTAGCTCGGTGCAGCTCGGCAGCGTTCATAGCTTCTTGTCACTAGCAAGAATGCTCCGTTCGTAGCGATGCCAGGAGCGCCGTTCGTAGCGTCCAATCGCTCCAGATGGGGCGTTTCCAAGGGGAGCATGACTCAAGGGCGTCGTTTCCACTTCGCACGGATTGCATGAGAGCTGTCATTGCCAACAGGAACCACGTCGCCTGAATGAGAGCAAAATGGGGGCACGGCTCCCCCCCGTAATTCAGACTGGGATCCTTTTCAAAAATGGTCACGCGCTACAACAGACAAAAACAACGCTTTGATACGTCCTCCTCTTTTTCCTGGTTCGTCTGTGCATCATGATTACCACTGCTGAGTCCCACAATCCTTATAAACCGTGGGCCAAGTGCAACAGCCGCGGCTGAACTTCCAGCACGGACAGAAAGCGTTTGCTTCCTCTCATGTGTGACGCGGCTTGGCCGGCATATCACGCTGCACTGCCTGCTGTGGCATGAGAACTGTTTGGTTTTTCTGCCTGTCCCGCTCAAATGCTCCACATAGTAAAGATAACTGTCAAAACCTTCTTGATCCATTAATCCAGTTCACCTATTAAAAAACACGGCCTCCCTATTAAGAGAAACTCGGTCGCATTTTTGTTTAAGTAGGGGGCCCCTGAAATCGGGGGGTCCAAAATAGGGTCACCTGGGAAGAGCTTCAAACCAAAAAGTCATCCAGAAAAAGTTTATATAAAATCCTTTATTAAACTCGTATCAAAATTCACAAAAACTCCAGATCGGGTGGTCTTCCTTTTCCCCTACAAAAACCTTCATTAGAATACTGGTTCTTCATTAGACTAACAACCAAAGCTTTCGAAAGGTGATGCCGCTGTGCCATGCGGTTTTGCACGACCTCGGTGGCAAGTGCGTTTGCGCGAGTCCGTGCCATTGGAGGAAGGAAAACCTGCTGGTGTAAACGCGGCGTGTCATGGTGGATACCCAGGGCGGACAGATGTGGGCAGTTACGGTTGTTTTTGGAACCTAGTAAAATGTCAATAGCAGTGGGACGATAGCATACCCTGTCATAGCCTATGCATGTACAGCATACATCAGCGTGTCACGCCAACTCTTTGGCTCAAGACTCCCGTAGTTCAAGCGGAAAAGAAGTGCGCGCCATTGCTGACTACAAGGGAGAGGATAGTCTACTCATACTTCCCGCTGAGCAGATGAATATCCACACGCAGGTTATCAGCCGTAGCCGCGCCAAGGTTACGAGCTTTGTGAGACCAATATTACAGCCAAAGACTTGAGTCACTATGTCGAGCTCAGGAGGAAAGAGCAGTGGACAATTCTCCTTCGCAGCTCCAGGAGGAAACGCATCGCAATCTTCACCAGGTTCAATCACCGGTACTAGTTCTGCCTGATGCTGCCACAGTGATTACTATGCCATCTACATCGTTAATTTCAGGTGAAGGAGGGATCGCTCCACGAGAGACGACCTCCGCCGGATCCGATGTTTGAATGGGCAACGCAAGAAGAATTATGAATAGATTTGCGAGATCTACATCGCCAAGGACTACAACGAGAAGATCACCAAAGAGAGATATCGAAAAGGTAGAAATTGAAGATGCCAAAGAATATGGAGAGAGATCCAACTCCTTGAAGAATTACGATCAGCAAGAGTATCCTACCAACACTTGAACGACGAATACAGCTATTTGCATGATGGATATACCAGACTCTATGCTGAATCGGAAGAGGAATCTTCGCACATGACAAAGTGCAATATGGCAATGAACACTCACCTACAAGAAATGATGCAAGAGGATGAAGGTGCAACTATACGAATCGAAGAACTTGAGAAGAAACTCAGGCTTGCCGAATGTTTAGCAGATCACATCTAAACAAGGTACGAGAAAGTCGCTTATGAGAATCATGAAGAACACTCCCAAATCGGCGAAGTGACCTCCAAGATGGAAGACATGACCGTGAAATGCAATGTGCCTTCAGATACATCCAAGAGCAGAACCAGATCTCTGACAGCTACACCAAAAGGGCTCAACATCTCACTGAAGAGAACAAAGCGACGATGAGCGTCGCCGACGAATTGCAGATGAAGATGTTGATGCTACAGGACGAGAACAGCAATCTGTTAGAGATAGCTCAGAGAGAAAGGGAGAAGCAATGGAAGAGTGAAATGCGCCGCATGGTGCTGACCAACGAGGCTGCTGCGAGCACTGATCATCGATACCAAGAGAAGAGAGCGGTAGAACATCTTCGTGGTCAACTGGCAACCGTCAAGGGATCAGGGATGAGTCTTGCAGAGACGAGTAATCTCGATCTTGAACAAGAGACTGAGATACAGGCATACAGACTGGAAGTCAACGAGAAGGAGATGCGGGCACAACAGTTTCAGTATGTAGCAAGAGTGATGGCAGAGGCAACGAAAACATTGGAAGACGCTGCTGTCAACATACAATCACAAGCGAAAGATGAGCATCGTCAGATCAGAGAAGCCAATCTTGCCCCCACCGAAGCCAACAAAATACTGAGAAGAGAGAATTTGTTGGGAACATCAGCGATCGATGGTAGAGAAAGGATAGTTCTTGACGAGAAATTCCAGGAACTCGAAGACTCGAAGAGAACCACAAAGTCGCTGAAAAGAAATTATCAGAAATGAGGATTGAGAATGCGAACATGAAAGCCGAGATGCATCATGGATACACCAGAGATGAACATCGAGAAGGACAAGGGCGACCAGCCACTCGACTTGATGAGGAGACCCAATCGCGCTTAGAAGAAGCAGAAGACCTGAGACATGAGGAAAATGAAGTGAGCAGGTTGAGGAAAGCGCGTGATGAGGCTTATAACTGGTATTTGGAAGCATTTGAATGCTATGAGGAAGGGGTTGAAGAGAAGAAAGAGATCGAATGCGGGAATGCGGAGCTCGTCAGGATCTGGATCATCGATGGCTTCTTTGATCCAATCAATCCATGGTTGCTGGTCTGAGTCATTTGCTGCGATGACGATTGCCTGTATCAAGTTGGCTTTCCATAGACCTAAGTCATTGACTTTCGGCCATGGTGGGACATTCACCTTGGATTCTTCTTTTCTTGATATCTTGGTCGCATATGCTGATGCGGCTTCCGATGGATTCAGGCGACGCGAGGTTCCATTCCATCGATGCAAAGTTAGGCCTAGCGTTGACCAAAGTCGTTGCGGAGTCCAAAGAAGAAGGGAACAATGTTGCTATATGAAACTGAGAACTCGTATCAATGCAAAAGGGGACCTCTACCCATATCAAAGGAAGAGAGATCCTTGCTTTGATGACTTCTCAACTTCAAGAAGACGACCTCCAACGTTGAAGTGCTGTACACATCTATGCACTTGTATCAGTTTGAGTTTGAGTATGAGGGAGACAGGAATTTATCACTTTTCATACACACATGGGACGAGATCTTAGCGGGAATGAAACCAGCTGACATCCCAAGCGACGAAACGCTCCGTGATCTCTTGTACAGGAAGGTGAAAAATTCAAACCTGATGTCGTACGATATACATATGTACAACAGCCTCATGCAATGAAGGAGATCCCAAGAAGACGTATCAAACACTCCGTGACATGATTCAAACGCACATTGAAAGGCGAACCGAGGTCGGGTGCTCCTTGAGAAGGAGAAGGCCGTCAAGAATGTGGCCAACATATTTCAGAGTCTCAAGCCCAGTGGTCCAGCGCCTAAGGCCAAGGCCACACCTGCGCCCAACGATTTAATAAACCGAAACCCAAACCATCCGGGGCAGTGGGGGACACAGAAGAAGCAACTCCTGTCAAGCCAACTCCCAATCCGAAAAGACATCCTGAAGACAAGAAAGGGAAAGGAAAGGGAGATGGCAAAGACCGAGGAAGAAGTACCAGTGTAGACAAGAAGAAGATTCCGTGCAAATTCTTTGCCAAAGGGAAGTGCAACAGCGGAAAAGGGTGTCCATATAGTCACAAGAGGACAAGAACTCCTTCAAGAGGTCCATCGCCCAAAGGTGAAGGAAAGGTTGCTGGAGGAACTGGATTCGAGGGAAATGCCCCAAGGGAAAAGAATGCAATTTTATCATGATCCTAAAGCAGCACCCAAGAAGGGTACGTCCGCAGCTGCAGGTTCAGGAGAGGACAAGCCCAAACCGAAGCCTACACCAAAGCCGAAGCCCAAAGGAAAGCCAAGCGCTCTGGTGGTGGGACATTTATCCTTCTTGGAAGAGTCTGATGATGAGGGAATCGCAGCAAGCGTGAAGATGAACACCGTGAAAGAGAAGAAAGTGTCATTCAATGACGACGTCGATGACATCATCTTCAACAAGGCTGTGTATTCCATCAGAGACATTTGGAAACCCGTGATCAGGAAACCGTTGAGACCAGACATCAAGAGGTACGAAACTAGGGAGGTCACTGACCAATCCCATCGAGAACAAAACCGTTTTGATGCAAAAGTAGCGGAAGCAAGAGCCATCCTCATGGTGCCATACACCAGCATCAAGGAAGTACATATCCCACTTGGCCCAAACGGAGACATTGCTATCACAATGAGGTTTGATGAAGAGGAGGGCTTGGTGTACGATCACAAGCTCATCCCTCACGTTTGTGGCAAACATGGAATAAGAGGTGAAGTGCAAACATTGTCAGTACCTGCAAAAGGATCAAGAGCGAAATTCATCATGGATAGTGGACATGATTGAATCTCAAAGAATAGAGCCAAGAAATGGGACTT